GGGTCAGGTGAATTACTTTATTAGAGCCTCAGTTTCTCTACCTGTAAAATGGGCTCACAATAATATGGCTACCTTACTGGTTTGAGGTAAAGATTCATGAAAGCTGAGTCAAGGACAGCACTCTGAGCAGATTTGGCCACAGAGCAGATTCCCAAGAAAATTTTGTTTCTAAGAACTTGAGATTCAAGGCCATTGCTAAAAATGGCCCAATGAAGAGCCCTTGGGTTATGGCATAGGGAGTGGCCATTTTGCTGACTAGGGAAGGAGGCCTCCCTCTTGCAAGAGAGTAGGCTTCTAGGTTTTGTTTATAAAACTACTTGTTCCTAAAAAGCTACAAATGTCCCCAGATACTCTGCACTGAGTCCATTGGGTTGGGCTGAAACTGTTTGAGCAGGTAGAAAGGAAAGCAGTTTCTATAAATCCAGGGTGTTGATGAGGCTAAACCAGGTCCCTGGCATCCTGGAACTCTTTCTCCCTGCTCCTACATGTGATGGCCTACTGGCCTGTCCCATATAATTTGGTCTTCACATCCCGTGTGTATGAATGTGTGGAGTCTCTCTGAACTCTTTTTCTTTTTTGTTAAGATCTTATTTATTTGAGAGAGAGTGAGAGAGAGAGCTTGCATGTGTGAGAGCACATTCATGAGCGAGCGGGAGGGGCAGAGAGGGAGAAGGTGACTTCCCACTGAGCAGGGAGCCCAATGCAGGACCCAATCCCAGGACCCTGGGATCATGCCCTGGGCTGAAGGCAGATGCTTAACCGACTGGACCACCCGGGGCACCCTCTCTCTGAACTCTTGAATAAAGTAAGGAATGAGTCCTTCAGATGAAGGCTGTGGGGCCTTGGGCAGGTTACGTGATTAGTCTTTCTCTGTAAAATGAGTGGGTTGGCCTCGATGGTTTAAAGACAAACAATGCTTGTTGAACATCTGCTGTGTGCTGGAGCCTGTGCAAGGTACTGGGGATGCAGTGGAGTCAGAGACATTGCCTGCCCCCAAGGGGCTGAAGGTCTGATGGGACACAGAGGGAGGTGAGCAGGGAGGTGGGGCAAGCTAAGGCCCTTTCCTGATGCTCGTGGTTCATGAGCATAAGGTACTCCTGGCAGAGCCAGGGGGAACTCTCAGGGAGCAGAGCTACTGCCCTACCCACCTAGGACGGGAGGTGATGCCAGTGCAGGCCAGGGACTTGCATGGCCCTTCAGACCACAGCAGGGCCTGTGTCCAGCATTTACCATACAATCTAGTGGGCAGAAGCACAGAGTCCAGAGCCAGGCTGTTTGGGTTCAATACTCAGGTCTCCAATGTACTAGCTGTGTGCCCTTGGATAAAGGTACTTAACTTTGTTATCTATAAAATGTGTATACAATTTGCACCTTCCTTGTAGGATAGTTAAGAAAATTAAGATGAATTAAGACTATCTGCTACAGCATACCCTTCCATCTTCACCTTTTGTCCTAGTAAGTGAGGTCTTGGCAACCAAGGAAAAAGGCTCTGCTCCTTAGGCCTGAGAGATTAGGAAGGAACATCTGGAAGATGTAAGAAACAGGGATTTCTTCCACACCCTTCATCCCCCTATTCTTTAGATGACACATATTCATCTTTCTGGCCTTTCCTGTTTCTCAAGCCAAAAAGAGGGCACAGCGGCAGTCATACTCAGGTTCTCCATTCTGCCTGGAACCCACCTGTGGGCCATCATGGGGTGCTGGAAGCACTGATTGCAGGGCTTGCCCCTAAGCCGATGTGCAGGGGTAGAGAGGGCCTTTCAGAGTGGCAGCCACCCTGTCCTCCACATTCTGCAAAAACTGTCAAATGGAAATGTAAAAACAGATTACACTTCCCTCAACTCAACCCCACTTGCTCTACAATGAAACTGGGTGGAATTGCCAGTATCAGGGACTGGGCTGGCATCTTACCAAGGGAATGTTGGCTTCTGAGTCCCCTTCCTAGTCCAATTCCGGAGGTCAGTGCTGTGGAGCAGTAGGAGTGTTCAGAATTTGGACTACTGACCCAACACCAGAGACCTTGCCCACAACCGATGGACTCTAAGAGGTGTAAGAAATATGGAAATATTCCTTCAGTTCAAAGTTGTCCAGATTCTCTTGGTTAAGAGGCAGGAAAGGGCCTTCACTCCTTAACATCCAGAGGTGGAAGGAGAACCATGCATTTGGATAGTAGAGGTGTCAGGGAAAATGACCTCAGAGGAGTATCCTCTGAGTAATGACTCTGAAGAGGAATACAGACTAGCCAGGTCCTTAGGCTTGTGAAGAGAAAGTTCAGGAGAGGTAAACAGTGTTCCAGCAAAGTTCTCTAAAGAGAGTATTCAACAGAGCCCTAGCATTTTCTGAGCTGGAATGCTCTCATTGTGCACAGGAGAAAATGGAGGACTTTTGGAGTCCTTTATATTAGAACTCATACTCCCAGACCCCTCACAGAGATCCACGTTATTGACAACCTTCTCCCCCAAATCCTCTTCATTGGCCTTCTGCTTACTCTGGCCTGCTTCTCTGGTTACTCTAGTCTCTTCTGGCACCTGAGCATGGTCCTTCCCCCAGCTTCTACCCTTGAGGCCAAGGCTCCTGCTCTCTATCCCCTTTCTCCCATCCACTCATGCAGCTTCAACTCCAAGGGTGACATCCTGGCCAGTCCTAGGCCTTCCTCTCTCCCGCAAGGACAGAAGCCCTAAGGAACTCAACATTTCCAAACATGGGCTAACCATTTTCCTTACTCTGATAGCTTTTATCATGCACTGCCTATTTCTGACATCTTATATCTCCTTCCTGCAAGTTCAGGGATTTTCAGTGCCTGGAAATTCCCTATCCTTCAGTCTCAAATCTAAGGCTTTTCAGGCCATATTCATTAATTCACTCACTCACAAACACTTTCTGAGCATATTAATATTCTCTGGGCCAGAGTTGGCTCCAAGTGCTAGAGGTTCCATGGTGAAAATGGCAAGCCTGGATCCTGCCTCTGAGGAGCTTATAGCCGTGTGGAGGAGACACAAATTAGCATAAATAATTGCAGAAAAATAGCTATATAATTTCTACTAAAGAACAGTACATAGGACGCCTGGGTGGCTCAGCGGTTAAGTGTCTGCCTTTGGCTCAGGGAATGATCCTGGAGTACCGGGATCCAGTCCCATATTGGGTTCCCTGCATGAAGCCTACTTCTCTCTCTGCCTGTGTCTTTGCCTATCTCTTTCTGTGTCTCTCATGAATAAATAAATAAAATCTTAAAAAAACAAAACAGTACAGGGCTGTCACAGTGCATGGTGGGGGTAGGGGTGGGGGAGGAGGTGTGGCTAACCCGATCTGAAGGCCAGAGAAGTCCTGAATGTGGGGAATGGTATAGCAGGATCCGGCTCATCTCCTCTTTCAGAATTCTAGGCCTGTAGTAGGCTGAATAATGGCTCATCAAAGATGTACACATCCTTACCTCCAGAACCCACGGGTATGCTACATGGCAAAGGAGATTAAGATTGTAGATGGCATTAGGGTTGTTAGTCTCCCTTAAAAAAAGGGAGATTTTCCTGGATTATCTGTGTGGGATCAATGTCCTTAAAGTAGAAAAGGGAGGAAGTAAGAGTCAGAGAGAGATGTGATATCCTAAGCTGGGTCAAAGAGATGTTGCATTGCTGGCTTTGAGGATGGAGGAACGGGGGGCATAGACTAAGGAATGTGGGTAGTCTCCAGAAGCTGAAAAAGGCAAGGAAATGGATTCTCTTCTAGAACCTCTAGAAAGGAACCCAGTCATGCCGAACCCCTTGATTTTAGCCCAATGTGACTCCTGTTGGACTTCTGAGATCCAAAACAGTAAGAGAATAAATTTGTGTGTGTGTGTGTTTAGATTTAATTCATTTATCCACGAGAGACACAGAGAGGCAGAGATACAGGCAGAGGGAGAAGCAGGCTCTTCTCGGGGAGCCTGATGCAGGACTCAATCCCAGGACCTGAGCCAAAGTCAGATGCTCAACCGCTGAGCCACCCAAATTTGTGTTATTTTAAGCCACAAAATTTGTGATAATTTGTTATGGCAGCTATAGAAAATTATAATTATAGGCCTGAGCCCTGATATTTCCATTCCTGAATCCACTTCATTTATTTTCACCTAGGCTTGAACCCTATCTTTTCATCTCTGCTCTCTGAATCCATCTTCTGGACCTTGCATTTTTGAGGACTTCAAGGGCGCAAGGCTGTTCAGATCAGTTATAGGAGCGGACGAAGGTAGAGAGCAAAAAGCGGGCAAGTGAGCGCAAGGGTCAATGGAGAGCTCTAGCTCTGGACTCAGGCCTGCTGTAACCTCAGCTCTAGAGCATTTATCTACTCCCTGTGGGCATCCCAGCGAGGCGTTTGGCTCGTTTCTTCAGCTCAGACACCAAGATAGGAGAGATGCCACCTCAAAAGCATAAAAGGCAATCAACTGTATCACGCATTTATCACAGGAGATCATCCTCAAGGCTTACGTGCCGTCAGGAGACCAGGTCCAAGGAATTACAGAAAAGTCACTGGAGGGTAGTCAAGGGCGACGCCAAGCAGCCAGGGCCAGGTGCCCGGGAAGGGGCTTCTTCCCCTTCCTGCCTCCTCCCCTTTCCTGCCCGGGGTGGGGTGGCGGCTCTGGGAGAAAGCCGCGGGGACGGGCGCCGGTTGGGGGGCTGTGCGCAGATACACCCCCGCCCCGGGTCACCGAGGTCGGCCAGCTCCCTCTTCCCCGCCTAGGGCTGCCCTTTGGTGGCCAGTCAGGCGGGTTTCTCCTGGAGTCCCCCGGCGACAGTGCCGCGGGGGCCGTGCGGGGAGCTGGCCCGCGGCCCCGCCGGCTGGGGCTGGGGGGGCTCTCACTTCCCCTCCCCAACGGCCGCGGGCGCAGGTGCGGCGGGCCGTGCCCCGCTGCGGGGCGGGTCGGGTCCTGTGGACACGCCCCCGCGGCCGGTGCTCGGCGCCCGGCGGGAGGAAGCGCCAGAGCCGCCGCTGGCGCCGCGCGGAGCCCGGTGCCCCCGCCGCGCCGCGCCCCCGGACCCGCCGGCCGGCGCCGCGCAGCAGCCCGCGGGCAGGTGAGCTGCGCCCCGCGCCATGGCAGCCTCAGGTGCGTAGGCGGGCCCGGGCCCCCGTCCGAGCCTCCCCGCCGCCCCCGCCCCCGCCGCCGCCGCCGCCGCTCTTGGGCGCGGGCCCTGCGTGCCTTCTGCTCCTGCCGCCGCCCGCTCCCGGCGCGGACCTGCCGCCGCCCGCTCCGGCGCGGACCTGCCGCCCACCCTTCCCACGCTCCCTTCCCAGCCGGCCGCGCGGTCCTCTTCTGCCCCCGCTTGCACCCCCCCTGCCCCGGTCTTTTAAATCTCCGCCTCTCTCTCCGACTGGGCCTGGTTGCTCCCGGGGCTCGTGGCTCCAGTTCTTCCGACTCCGTGAGACCAGGCGGCGAGCCGGCTCGGCTACTGCTGGGAAATACTCCTCCTAGGGCCCCCTCGGGCCGATAGGGGGCGCTCAGGTAGTCCCAGGTGCGCGCCGGGGGATCGCGGGAGGCCCTTGGGCCACCTTCCCGAGCCTGCTTCCTCTGCCCTTCCTATGCTTTTTTTTTTTTTTTTCATGTAGAATTTCGATAAGAATCTAAGAACACCATTCCGTTAGCTTTAGTTTTCTTATGTCCTTTGCAGAACTTTGGGGAGTGGAGAAAAGTGAGGGCCACTGGGTAACCTACCCATCAAAAGGTGCCAGGAGTCTTTTTTGAGTCTTGGGTTCTTCTCTGGTCACGGGTGTGGACGTTTGCCAAAGTTACTCACTGTGACTTTGTAATCCAGGATGAACCACGAAATGACGATGATAATGGAGACAATTAAGAAGCACTTATTATGCACTGTAATGGTTCTTGTGCATCTGCATGTGTTCTCAGTGGTGAGCAGGACAGCCTGGTCTCTGCTCTCGGGGAGTTTACAGTCTTGGTAGGAAAGCCATACATAAGTAAACAGGGAATCAGTAGATGAAATTAGTTACTGTATCTGCAAGTGGGTTTACTTGTATTTTCTCACTCATTTTATGATTTAGTAGAAGTAACATGTATAACCAGGATGTAAACGCCTCTTGAAAACTAAAATCTAGTCAGCCAGGAGAAGATACTGTTCTTGAAGGATGTGGGCAGATTCTAGGATGAAGAGCCAGCTGTCCCCATATCCCCCTCTCCCCTGAGGTCTAGCCTCCTAATGGTGCTTTGGAAGCAGGAGTGGGGTGGTGGTGGTGAAGAACGCCAATGGTAACAGTTCTATTAGATTTAGTAATGCAGGCTTATTCTTTAAAGGAAATGGGAAAGTTAGATAGCTTTAGCCTTATGGCTCTCAAGTGGGGCTCTGGAGGTTAGAAGAAGCTGTATTGTGGTAACAGTAGGCTCATAGTCCACACGTTCTGTTCGAAAGCTGAAGCAGAGTTGTCTAGAGGAAAGTCATTCATTCATTCAGCAAATATTTGTTTCATGCCTACTGTTCCTCGGCACTGTTCTAGGTGTCAGGTGTGTATTTAGTGATTAAAACAGGCATAAGTCACTTTCCTGTAGAGCTTATGGGACACGGGGGAAGGCAGACAATGCGCTTGGTGAGGAAAGTACATAAGTGCAGTGGGAAAACAGTAGAGGAGGTAAAGGGGGCTGGATTTGTAATTTTAAAGAAGGTAGCCAGATTAGGCCTCATGGAGAAAGGAACATTTGAGCAAAGATCTGAAAGGTTATGTGGGGGAACAGTGCTCCATTCAGAGGAACAGTAAATGGGGGTATATGGTGTATTTAAGGAACAGGGAGCAGGTGGTGGAGTAGGTGGGTGATTGGACAGAAAGTAGGAGATGAGGTCGGTGAAGCTCCTACCTCTTTCCATGGCGGAGAACAGGCCCTGGGCTGTTAAGTGCAAGAAACAGCAAACTGGGAGAAACTACACAGAGGAGATAGAGGAAACCACCATTGTTTAGAGTCCTGTGTGCAGGACTCCAGTAGGGCCTGGCCCAAGGCCCTACTAGAAGAGTGTGCTCCCATTCAGATGGGGACTCTAGCACAGTGGCTGACTCTGGGGCTATTTATGGGCTCTGTAGTGTGGCTTCTGCCTTCACCTGTAATGGTTAGGGCTGTCAAACCCTCCTGCTATCAGCATACGCCGTGGTGAGACATTGCTTCAGGTTCTGCAAGTTGGGAGTTGGGCCTCTGAGGTCTCTGGGGCTGAGGTCTGCAGGTTCAGGGACCCATGGTGGCAGTGAGAGTGCCTCTTGACAATATATTGCAGGGTCTAGAGTCATCTAGGCCACTCTTCATGTGATCTTCTGCTTCTCGTCTTCCTCCTCCCTCTTCCGTTCACCCCCCCCTTTTTTTTTTTATTTTAAACAGTTCTATTCAGATGTAGTTCACATACCATACAATTTGCCCATTTAAAGTATACAATTAAAAAAACAAAAACAAAAAGTATACAATTCAGTGGCTTTTTAGTATCTTCACAGATATGTACAAACATCACCATGGTCAATTTTAGAACATTTTTCTCACCTCAAAAAGAAACTCATTTTGAGAAATGAGTGAAGGGGTATAAATTTATTAAATAGAATTTTTTTTAAGAAAGAGAAAGAAACTGTATGCTTTGGCTCTTGCCCTCTTATTCCTTCCTCCTGCCTGGCCCTAAGTTTTATGTGTGTGTCTCCGGATTTCCCTGCTCAGGACTTCCATATGAATGGGATCATATGTATGTAGTCTTCTGTGTTTTCTTTCACATAACATAGTGTTTTTTAGGGTTCACCCAAGTGGTAGCACGAGTCACATTCCTTTCTAAGGCCTAACTGTGTAGTCTTTTAAAATTTCCTTCTGCTGAAGGGTAAGCATTGTATTTTATGTTATTTTAATTTTAATTTTTTTATTTTTATTTTTTAAATAATTTTTTGATTTTTATTTATTTATGATAGTCACACACACAGAGAAAGAGAGGCAGAGGGAGAAGCAGGCTCCATGCACTGGGAGCCCAACGTAGGATTTGATTCCGGGTCTCCAGGATTGCGCCCTGGGCCAAAGGCAGGTGCTAAACCGCTGCGCCACCCAGGGTTCCCTTAATTTTTATTTTTTAAAATATTTTATTTATTTATTCATGAGAGACAGAGAGAGAGAGGCAGAAACATAGGCACAGGAAGAAGCAGGCTCCATGCAGGAAGCCCAATGTGGGACTCGATCCCAGGACTCCGGGATCATGCCCTGAGCCAAAGGCAGACGCTCAACCACTGAGCCACTCAGGTGTCCCAGTATTTTATTTTATTTTATTTTATTTTATTTTATTTTATTTTATTTTATTTTATTTTATTTTTTTATTTTATTTTATTTATTTTATTTTATTTTATTTTATTTTATTTTTTTATTTTCCAGTATTTTATTTTTTTGAAAGACATCTTTGCGTATCGAAATCAAGGAGAATCTTGGCTCCCTGTTTTTGAAAGAGCTTGGGGAGCAGGATTAAATGAAATGGAATCAACCTACCCTGGAATGTTCTCTAGGCTCCTGATGGCATCTCTTGTATTTACATACGAGACAGAGAGAGAGAGAGAGAGAGAACACAAAGGGGCCCTAAGTGACTTCCCCAAGTGATCAAGTCTGTAGCTGGGTGAAGAGCAGAATCTTTTCCTCCATATGTTAGCCTTCAGATCTTTGAAGAAAGCTTGCATACCTATTCCTATCCTTTTTCTCCAAGGCTTCTCTTATCTTCAGGTTTTTCTACCATCCCTAGACTTATAGGATAATAGGGTTTGAAGGTACCTTTAATTTTTTGTGATCTTAACTCTGAACTGATTCTTGAGGTCCCTCAATACTCTGGTCAAGTCTCTAAACTTGAAACCTTTAGAGTCCTGTAGCTCTTCATGTGAGTCATCACCAGACCCTTCTGGATCCTGGTCACCTTTGATAGCGCACATCCTTCTTTGGTATGGTGCTCAGGACTGATGAATGGGGAGCCAGGGTCACCTACAGATTTAAAGAAACGGTCTGGACTGGGTAGTTTGAAAAGCTGCCTGGCACTTCCCTGTTCTTTTCTTAGGTGGATTCTGAATCTTTCTAAGGAAGCTCTCTTTCAGTCACTGTCTTTTTTTTTTTTTTTTTTTTTTTAGTCACTGTCTTTCTAACCACTACTGTCATTCCCTGTTGCCACCAGCCATCGATACCTCTGCTGTTATCCATGGCTTTCTCCTATAGCCAAACCTGTTCAGGCTCTACAAGGACGAGGGCCCATCCTCATTTCTGTTTAGGATTTATGGACTCCAGTGGGTTCATGGGATTTCATTTTTCTTTTCTTTTTTTTTTTTTTAAGAGTTTTTTAATTTGAGAGAGAGAGCACACGCACAAAGAGGAGGAATGGGAATGGGGGAGGGAGAGCAGGTCCCCTCTTCCCCCACAGCAGAGAATATGACTGAGCTGAAGGCAGACACTTAACGGATGGGACTGAGCCGCTCAGAGGCTCCCGTGGATTTCATTTTTCTTAATAAGCAAACAAAACAGAATTGATTTGGCACATATGAGGAAATGACCTAAAGTTACAGGCAGGGAATTATCCTTGACAAAAGGGGTGTCCCCTTTGCCAGAAAGAGCTGCTGACGAAGCGCTAGGTCTTGTGTTGTTATCCAGCACATCACGGAGGAACTTTAACTTCCACTTTGGAACTTTTTTTAGAATTTCCCCAGCTTTCAGTTTCAGCAGAGGAGCAAAATTCAAGAAGGTGGTAGATTTCATTGTCCTCATTTACACTGAGGCAAAATTTGCTTAGACTTAGTACACTGGCCCCCAGTCACACCGCAGGTGGGTGACCAAGTGGGTTGTGAAGTTAACGAGTCTGAGGCACGAACCACTTCATTCTTGTTACTTTTGCCGAAAGGAGTTGGGAACGGGTGGGTGTCAAATTTTGCTACAGAACCCCAGGAATGAGACGTTTTCAATATGTTGTCCATTCAGAAGAGGCTAACCCCTGAAGTGTTTTTTAATTTAAATTGTATTTAAAAATTTTTATTTTAGAAGTTTTAGATTTCTTGAAAAACTGTGAAGATGTTAGAGTTCTCATATCTTCCACACCCAGTTTCCCTCGTTATTAATATTTGCACTTTTTTTGATGACTAGAGGTCTTTAACACCCAGTAGACATTGCCTTGTGCTGTTAACAGAGAAGCAGGCTGTGTTGAGGCAGGATCCAGGGTGAAATGAATACTCCCTCCCTCAGTGACCCCAGAACTTGTCATTTGAAATTATTGGTTTGCTTAGGGTCACTGTCTCCTCATAAAAGTGGTGTACGTTGCTCATGGCCATGTGGTCAAGGCAATCTAAAGTTGCTAATTTTCTTTCTTTCTTTTCTTTTTAAAATAGTTTGTTTATTCGTGAGAGACCGAGAGAGCGAGACAGAGACATAGGTAGAGGGAGAAGCAGGTTCCCCCTGTAACTGTGTTACACAGGGGGAACCTGATGTGGGACTCCACCTGAGGACCCCGGGATCCCGACCTGGGCGGAAGGCAGATGCTCAACCACTGCCTTTAGAGGCCACCCAGAAGCCTCTAAAGTTGCTGACTTTCTGCTAAGTCAGTTATTGTTCTAAATCTGAATTGCCTTCTTAAGAGTACCTATTATATATACTCTTAGAAATACTTTTCTCTCTTCCTTATTTCTTTACCATCTATTGAAGACATCACCAATGGCTTTGTCACTAATGTATAAGGCCCTCCCGGAGATCTTATTCTCCTTCTAGCCCATTTGTAAAAATTGTTGACATGACATTTGCTAATATATTTATCTGTATAGGTGGGGGGTGTTGGTGGCTACTGCTTTTTACATTGCACTTTTCACTGAATTCTGAGCACAGATTGCTAACATTGCACCCTTACTATTATAATGCAATGCAAAGTGTTACACATGGTGGACCATGCACATGCACACCCATATGTATTAACACTTTACATTCAGAACAACATTTACCTCTGAGGATAAAACAACCATGTAGGAAAGAGGGGCAGAAAGAAGGTAAAAGTATTCTGATGCCTTTACTCTACTTTTCTCAGTATGAGCTCCATAGTTATGCTGCTTTGCCAATTTTATTCCTTCCATGGTTCTGAAATTATTTCTCCATTAAAGTACAAAGAACTGTGATTCACAGGGGAGAAAAAAAAGATCAGCAAAGATTTTATTTTATAGAAGGCTGCAGCACTGGCTTCCATATATTAAAATCTTGCCTTTAATCTGCTTAAACTTTGGGACCAGTGTAAGCATTCCTAAAATGGATTGTTTAATTCACGCTTGAGAAACTAGACCACACTCAGAATTGAATTTTCTGCAGAGCCACAATGGTCAATGGTGTTGTCAGAATTGCTGACTGCTTCCTACCCCTCCCCCCACCACCATATTGCCTTCTTAAACAGACTTCTTTTAAAATTTGCACAACTCCCCTTCAAAAGTACTCCCAATGTGCTCCTGCTGAGAGCCTGTTGGATTTTATATTAGCCCTGGATTAGGGCTCCAGCAAAGCAGAGACTCCAAAAAGAATCCCCAAACTTTTTCCTTACTTGCTATTTTTAACAATTTGGTAATATTATCCCTGGGGATGTCAGAACTGTGTTGGGTTTACATGTTATATGTCATTGTTTATACTTTGAATACGGTGGAAAATGGGATAGGAAGGGGGAGTGCTCCCATGATGTTTTCAGACTTTACAGCCTCATGTCTTGCCCCAGGTCTGCCTTTGACATTTTTGCCAGGAACCACTCAATGAAAAATGGTCCAGGGCTGATATTTAATTGTGATAATCCACAACTTAGGTAATTCTGAAGCTTCACCGGACTTGAGCACCTTCCTTCTCAGAATGGGGAGGAAGGATCCCTGTTGTATTGTTTCAGTGAGTGGAGACTCCTCTATGCTCACCCCTTCCAAGTCACAGAGAACAGTTTGTTGAGTTAGTGGAAGAGAGACCTCCTCTAACAGTATGTTAAGAGCCAAACTTCTTTGAACTTTGTTAATTGGAAGATATGCTTTATGACTTGTAAGATTCTTTAACTGGGCTTTAAAAAATTAAAAAAAATTTTTTTTAAAAAAGATTTGATTTATTCATTTGACAGAAAGAGACAGAGAGAGGGAGGGAGAGAGAGGAAGGACAAGCAGGGGGAGGTGCAAGGGCAGAGGGAGAAGCAGGCTGATAGATGAGCAGGGAGCCTGACTTGGGGCTTGATCCTAAGATCCTGGGATCATGACCTGAGCCGAAGGCGAATGCTTAACCGACTGAACCACCCAGGTGCCCTTACTCATAAGAATCTTGACCGAATCCCTGATGGGAGGCAACAGGTGAGACATGAGAAGACTGGACAGGGAACCAGAACAGCCAGAGGTTCAGTCCTGGCTTAGTGACTAGTTTGCTTAGTGTGCATTTAAGCGAGTCCCTTCATCTTCCCAGATGAAATGTCTCTTTTATCTGTAAATGAGGAATTTGGGCTAACTGATCCAGCAAAGCTCTTTTAAACTCATTGCTTCTCTGAGGCTTTGGACTCTATTTCTGGCATTTATGCTTTAGGAGAGGGAGAAGAAAGCCTATGTCACAGCCCAGGTGTGGTGAGGGACACTTTACCGATGGTATTGTGTAGATCAAAGCATTAATTCAACTGCAATTATTGTTTACATTCATGCATTGTTTCTATTAATGTGAGACGATAACAGCAGCTACCAATTAATGAGGGTTTACCACAAGCTAGGCACTATGCTTAGCACTTTATATGAAATAATCTAATTTAATTCTCACAAAACACTGGTAAGTATTGCCATTATAAATCCATTTACCAATGAGTAAACTGATGTTCACAATGTTTAAGTAGCTTGCCAAGGTTACACAGCTGATAACTCAGAGCTAAGATGCTAACTCTAGCTACTTGATTCCATACCTATGCTTATACCCACTGTATTTGGGAAAGAGCTGGGTTCTGGGGCCAAACTGTCTGAGTTCAAATTCTGACTCTGTCACCATGGATTTTTTTTTAAAGATTTTATTTATTTATTTATGAGAGACAGAGAGAGAGAGAGAGAGAGAGAGAGAGAGAGGCAGAGACACAGGTAGAGGGAGAAGCAGGCTCCATGCAGGGAACCCGACGTGGGACTCGATCCTGGGTCTCCAGGATCACATCCTGGGCTCAAGACAGGCACTAAACCGCTGAGCCACCCAGGCTGCCCCTGTCACCATGGGTTTTATGTAACCTGCCACCTCTCAATTTTCTCACCTTTAAAATGGGTCTAATAGTATTCTGTACCTTATAAGGTTACTGTGATGAATAAATGAGTTTACCAGGCAATGTGTGTAGAAAAGCATCTGCAACATAGTAAGCTCTCTATAAAGTGCTTGCTCTTGCTGTCATCATCATTGTCGTCAATTTATTGCCATCATTATCATTTTATATTGCGCCAGCTGTGGGTGGAAGAGCATGCCAGCAGAAGTGACAGTGATGTAAAAGCTCTAAAATGGCATAGTATCTTCAGGCAGAGACAGGGAGACAGGGAGACTGGTATGGCTGGAATGCAGACTGTAAGTAGGGAAAGAGGTTTGACAGCTATCCTTGGGGCAGACTGTGAAAGACTGTGGGTGCCAGGACCTCTGTCTGGATGGTTTATCTTGCAGGTCACAGGAGTCCTAGAGAGAGCAGGTATTTTAACATGCTTCTGTGCCTCATTCTTGTTCAGGGGTGGTTGGAAGATGCGACATCCTCATTGTCTACGGCCCAGATGCTGAGGAATGGTGCCAGTACCTCCAGGACCTCTTTCTGTCCAGTCGGCAGATCCGTAGCCAGAAGACGCTGACTTACAGGCTGAGCCCTGAGGCCTCCTTCTCAGCCAAGGACCTGAACTTCTTCCTCAGCTCGCGCTGCGTCGTAGTGCTGCTGTCTGTGGAGCTGGTGCAGTGCTTCTACCAGCCGGCCCTCCTGCCCCTGCTGCAGAGAGCCTTCCATCCTCCACGTCGGGTGGTGCGGCTGCTCTGTGGGGTGCCGGACAGTGAGGAGTTCTTGGACTACTTTCCAGATTGGGTGCACTGGCAGGAGCTCACCTGTGACGATGAGCCTGAGACCTATGTGGCAGCTGTGAAGAAGGCCATTTCAGAAGGTAAGGGTGTCTTCTCAAGGAAAGATAGTGACCCCTTGGGACACCTGAGAGGCTCAGTGGTTGAGCGTCTGCCTTTGACTTGGGTCATGATCCTGGGGTCCTGGGATGGAGTCCCACATTGGGCTCCCTGCAGGGAGCCGGCTTCTCTCTATCTGCCTTTCTCTGTGTCTCTCATGAATAAATAAATAAAAATCTTTTTTTAAAAAATAAATAAAAATCTTAAAAAAAAAAAAAAGATAAACAAGCCCTTAAAAAAAAAAAAAGAGTCATCCAGGCCCCAGGCATTTCAGGTGAGGCAGCTTTCCCTGCTTTTGAACCCCTTCCATTATATCATCATTGACCTTAAGATTTTTGTGGAAAGTGTATCACTTTGGATAACATGTTTACAGAGAAATACCCTTCTTCTCTATTTCCCACTAGCCTAGCTTCTGTCTTTTGCCCTGTTTCTCCTTTTAAAGTGGGAAAATTCTGGTCCTCGCTGCCAGGGCTAATGACTTCAGTGGCCCCAGGAAATGTGACATACAGTCTGATTAACGGTAGCGGAAGACACGTTCTGGGATGGAGGCATGTCACAGCTCTTCTTCCTCTTTTGCTTTCTATTTTTGCCTCACTGTGGGCTATGAGTGGGCTATGTGTTTATCTCTGTTCTCTAGCCCTTTGATATCTTATATCCGATGCCAGCAAAGAAGCCTGGACAATTATGGGTTGATTTAGCTATGCTCAATTATCCCTGCTGTGACTTGGGCATTAATGTGTCTCATTCATCCCATCTCATCTGATTAACTGAATCAAGAATTCACTAATTCTTGGTGAACTTACGAAGCTTACATGACCTCTTCGATACTTTTATCTGGGAATAGGCTGCTCTAAACCAATAAATATGACCAGATCTCTTAAACATATGGAGACTCTGGCTAATTGTAATATAAATGACTAGGGTTAATATAAAAGATGTCTCACCTAAAATGCCTGGAACTTGGATAAAAAATTCTTCTAGGGTTTGCTTTCATTTATTTCAGAAGAGCACAATGAGAGAAAAAGCACATAATTCAATCTTGCATGATTACACTTCATTGCTTTGAGGGAGTTTTGATCTGCCTAAACTTACAAAGAACTGAAACACAAGTAGTTATTTCTGCGGATGTGCTTATGTCACTGCTGTGGTCCATTATGATCTCGTGGGCAGGCCACTATTACCCACCAGCCAGTCATTGACGGCTCCGTGGATGTATTGTCACTGTATTGGCACCTCACACTGCATGATTTAACAGACTGTTCTTTAAAATATTCCAGTGGTGCTATTTTTAAAAAATGTTGAGAAGGATTCTTTTAATATTGTTTCAGTGTGTCCAATGTTTAGATGCCTGGATAAATTGATCGCCTATGATCATTTACTTTTTATTCATGACTCTGGCTCAGTATGGTATGGGACTTTAGCTTTAAGTATTTCTGAAAGAACAAAGTCTTTCTTTGTGGTGTTTCTGTTCTGAGAACAAATAACCTGTCATCAGAAAGAGATTATTTTAATGGGAGATTAAAATAAGCTTCTTAGTGGAAACTGCAGTTCAGAATCAATGGATAGGTAGGGACAAAAGGAGTTCTAGGAAGGAGAAGGAAGAAAGATGGCTTGTGGCTCCAATATAACTTTCTTATCTGGTGTTAGACTTGTGGACTTTGGGATTTGAGGAGTCTGTGTATGCTAGAATGGCTTGGGTTTGTTTTTCAGGTACTAATAGCCATTGCCCTTGGTCAGCCCAGTAATGTGATGCTATATCTCTGATTTTAATGCTAGGCAAGCATCTTTAACAAACTCAAGACTCAGAATCTGACAGTATGCCAAACAGAGCATTGACCAGAGATAGGGACACTCCATGGCGCTAACTTGGTGCCCAATATTGGGCAAGTCACTTACTGTATTTGGGAGTCACTCTCCTTCTCTGTAAGAGGCAGAATAAAACTTGAAGTAAGACACTTTCCAGGATTGATCATCTGTGATTCCCCAAGGCCAGGGAGTCTCAAACATTTCTGAAGCATCACCTTCTTATCCCATTTCACACCTGCTTTGACTTCCAGGAAGCTTAGGGTTAAAACTATATTTAAGAACAGCACTATCCCAAACTAGGTTGCTGATGTAATTATGCCCTTAGTCATATTCTCTATAGCTTGTGATAGTTTATTTTAATATTTCTCTTGTACATATGAGATTTTCCCAAGGTGTCTCAAAATAAAAGCAAAAAAGAAAAATTTTGTACACCCCACTACTATAAGATTCCCTACTCTCAAAGAAATAAACACATGGAACTTGTATCTTTGACTTTCTGTGTTAAGAAAGAAAATCTCAGTGGGAAATGTAATGGAAAATTGATAATGGGGGTGAATTAATGCTAGGGACAATAATTATGGTGTTCCTGATTGTAGGGTTGTTAAAAGCTATAGGGAGACAAATTTCAGGAAACCTTTCTAACAATTAGAAAGTGCAAAGATGGAATGGATTGGTTTTGGAGGTGATGAGTTTTACAACATTGGGAATATGTGAGTGGAGACTCTAGATGTGGCCTAAAGGGATTCAGCTTTGGAGCTATGGCTGGACCATATGACCTTCATAGCCTCTTGACTATAAAATTCCTTTACATGATATTCCTCATTTTCACCAGGAATACATTTCTCATTTATCCTCCTCCTCCTCCCCCCGCTCCTCTTGCTTTTTTAAGATTTTATTTATTTATTTATTTAGGGATCCCTGGGTGGCGCAGCGGTTTAGCGCCTGCCTTTGGCCCAGGGCGCGATCCTGGAGACCCGGGATCGAATCCCACGTCGGGCTCCCGGTGTATGGAGCCTGCTTCTCCCTCTGCCTGTGTCTCTGCCTCTCTCTCTCTCACTGTGTGCCTATCATAAATAAATAAAACAAAAAAATTTAAAAAAAAAAAAAAAGATTTTATTTATTTATTTATTTATTTGAAGAGTGGGGAGGGGCAGAGAGAGAAGGAGTGAGAAAATCCTAAGCAGACTCCCAGCTGAGTGCAGAGCCCAACACAGGGCTCCATCTCCTGATATCATGACCTAAACTGAAATCAAGAGTCAAACATTTAATGGACTGAGCCACCCAGGTGCTCTGGGAACACATTTCTGTTGTGAACACGTTTCTTCCTCCTTTGCCCAAGTCTCCCAGGGGTTTCTAACTTTCCCTGAGAAAATCTTGGTCATGTTCCTGCATTGACCTCAGCAGAAAATGGCAGGAAAAAAAGACCTCAAGTTATAATCTATGTAATCCTTAAAAACGGTGAAGCTCCCAGCATATATGCATATATATATATATATATATATATATATATATATATATATATATTCTTAACATTGAGGTACCTTTTGAAAAAAAAGTGACTACTTGATGAGATATTCATTGAGAGCATTTGAAATTTAGGTGAAATGTTAGACCATTTAAAACTTAAAGCTTAAAGATCAAGAGCTTTAGAGAGCAGAGCTGGTAATAAGATAATTGTTCCAGAATCGTAGAGTAAATGGGGTTATAGTTAGTCAATTATATTTCTTTTGCTGTTATGTTATCTAAATAAGTGATTCTCAAACTTTTATGTGTTCAAGAAGACCCTGGGGATTTGGTCAGTATGCACATTCTGACTGTAGATCTGGGTGGGGCTCAAGCTTTGGTATTTCTAACAAGTTCCCAGGTGATGCTGATGCTGCTGGTCAAGGGTCTACTGAGTATGTGAGCAAGGGTCTAAGCCACTCTTCCTTTGACAGGTCAGTGGTCATGTCCCTCTTTGGTGCATGGACCATTTTCTCCAATCTCCACTTTTCAGAAGGTAGAGGCACCTTCATCACATCAGAGTGACTCAGGGGTACCTGTCAGTGTAGGTGTGAACCTAGGCCAGTGTTTGGTACTTAGGCCAATAGACTTCAAGGCTGAGTTCTTGGGTTCTCTTCCTCTGCTCCTACTCACAGATTCAAAGTTGAGCTCTGGCAACTTTTAATCTCAGTTTTCCAGATGTAAGTGGTCCTGACATTGGAGTAAGGTTATTCTTCCATTGCGATCCTTACTGTTTATTCATTTAATAGACCCCCTGATCATAATTACTATTCCACTAAAAAGTGTTTTGGAGGTTTTATTTTGTTTCTCACCCTCTCTCCAAATTTGTCAGCTACCTTCAAATTGAGCAGTTGTTTTAATTAGAGTCTTTCATGTGTTAGAGCAGGCAGTTTGTTTCCCAAGATCTTCATCTGTAAAATGATGGGGTTGGACCACATGATTTGGAAGGTTTCTTCCAGCCCCCAGCACTGTAATGTATCATTATAAGTTTTCTAAGAAGATGGTAAATTACTCAGAACACTTGAATTGATTCTGTTTAGTTCCAAAATATCTGCAGTGATATGTACCCAGTGCATAGAACACTGTACTATTGTTCTGGATTTTTTTTTAAATTGGGTGATTATTTTAAAATAAGGAAGTGAGAAAAACCCAGGTACAGCATAGAAATTATTTCCTCTTTTTACTGGCGCTCTATTCTTTGCTGCAAATCTCCCTGGAATACAAAAATAGATTGTTAGTGTGTGTGTGGAAAAGGACTTGCTGCTAGGTGATACTGAGTTTTATTTCCTGAGTTCTCATCTGTGTGTGTGTGTGTGTGTGTGTGTGCGCGCGTGCGTGCAGGAGGAAGGCAAGCACTAGACCTAATTCTTCTAATATTATTCAGTATGATATTGGAGACCTTACCTGCTTCTTTATATGCATTGTTTTCTCTTTGCCTCGCCCTATCCCTCTTCATGTGCCTTGTATGTCAGAAGTTCTGGCGATACCCAAAATTATAATATATTTTGCCCTTTGTTCTCATGGGGAACATTTGGAGGGATATGCCCACATCTGGTCTTCCTTTGTTGATATGAATGTGCTAATCTGAATATCATACTGGAGTTTAAAAGAGTTTAAAAGAAAGATAATTAGATGTTTAAAAATGGTTTCAGCTCATTAAATGGATTCCAAAATA